GAGAGAAAGCTGGTTTCCGAAGAGAAGAATGAAATAGAATTGCAGAGAGAAGCAGAGATAAGATCTGTGGTGCACACAAGTTGTATACACTACTTTGGTTCTGCATGTCTTCCTGGTTCCTGCTTCTGATCCCTTATCACCTGCAGCTGTACTTCCTGCCCTTGGGCTCCATGAAATAGCCTCATTCCAGTTTCCTTTTGTGTTTAAGCCAGTTTCAGTGGGTTTCGTACAACCAAATGTTTCGATGTTGAAACATATGACAAGCATTCAGCAAACCTTTATTGATGTATAGCCACATCCAGCACTCTGAATTCCCTACTGTAGGGTGTAGAGAGGGAAAAGGACACAGTCTTGCCACTTCACAAATTCACACAGTGTCAGGAGCCAAATCTATTTCATTGCTAGGTCTGCAGTATGATAAAACTTGACTTTTCAAATGAATTTACATCAGATAAAAAAAATACCTATTTGAGAAGTGAATTTCCTTGGCTCTGACGGACACTGACTACTTCTTCCTTAGTAGTTACGCAATAAATGTGGACCTGGTTCAAATTAAAACGTCTAGAAAAGTTTGCTGCTGCTTTTCTGGGGTCTTAAAATAGTGTGACAGCATGACCAAAAGTTCAGCTTATTCCTTGTTCCATTGTGCTTTGTGTATATCTCTCTGTGATAACTGTGTTTTATAATTTAGTTATTAAATATTTGTTTCTCTCCAGTGTGTGTTTTGTGAGAACAGGTATCCTTTCAATTCTTATATGTCACTAAAATGTTGGCTCCGTCAGTCAGGGACTTCTTTTGTTTTATTTTGTCTTATTCACTGTGATACCCCAGTCCCTAGAATAGTGCCTTGGTACAAAACAGGGAGCTCCATAACTACCTGTTGAATGTATTACTGCATTGATTCCTTTTTGGCTAAATGTAGCTGATGATAATCAGCCACACTATTATAGAGCATTCTTATAATTCAGTTATTCACTATTCAAGTCCTTGCAGTTTTGAGATTATAAAAATAGCCATGACATAACTGTAGTAACTGATAAATTGACCATTTATAAAATTAGCTTTCACTCAAACACCCCTCCCTGTTAGGTTCTGTATCTATTCCTGCCCACTCTGCCCATATGCTTTTGGGGCAGATATCCAACAATACAGTTCAAAGTGAAATTGCATACCCTGCAGAAGCTGCAGAACTTTGTGATGTTGAAAGTGACAGTGAAAGAACTAGAAGTGGTAATTACATGGATAAATGGAAATGGCTTTTTTAATTATTTAAGTATCTTTAAAAGATAATTGCCTGCTTATGCAAAAATAATAACGATGTATGTAAGGTTTACAAGATGTACGAATAAAAAGTTTGTAACATGTAGAAATAAAAGTATGACAATAATAGCACAAAGGCTGGAAGGGAAGAAATAGAAGTATGCTGTTCTGAAGTTTTTTTTTTTTTAACTGAGAGTCTCACTCTGTCACCCAGGCTGGAGTGCAGTGGCACGATCTCGGCTCACTGCAACCTCTGCCTCCCAGGTTCAAGCAATTCTCGTGCCTCAGCCTCCTGAGTAGCTGGGATTACAGGTGCCCACCACCACGCCTAGCTATTTTTTGTATTTTTACTAGGGACGGGGTTTCACTTTGTTGGCTAGACTGATCTTGAACTCCTGACCTCAAGTGATCCGCCCACCTCAGCCTCCCAAAGTGCTGCGATTACAGGCATGAGCCACCACACCCAGCCTAAAGTTCTTATATAACATGTGAAGTGATACAATATTACTTGCAGGTAGACTGTGATAAGTTAAAGACTTCTGTTAAAATCCAAAAGCAACCTCTAAAATAACAAAGAGTTTTGGCTAACCAACAAAGGAATTAAAATGGAACAAAACACATTTAGTTATCCCAAATACTCAATCCAAAAAATAAAAAAGGCAATAAAAGAGGAGAAAAGGGAGCAAAGAACAGATGGGATAAATTTAAAAAATTAGCGAACTGGTAGATTAAACCCAACCTTATCAATAATCACAGTAAATATAAATTATTTAAATGCCCCAATTAAAAGCAAGACCAACTGCATGCTGTCTACAGAAAACCCAGTTTCAATATATAAAGACACAAGCGGAAAAATGGGAGAAGTTCTGCATGCTAACACTAATCGAAAGAAAGCTGGCGTAGCCATGTCACTCTCAAAGTGGATTTCAAAGCCAAGACTGGAATAACCAGGGATACGGAGGGACTTTGCCTATGATAAAGAATCAACTCATCAAGAGGACATAACAATCCTAAATGATTTTGCACCTAAAAATGATGTTGAAGGACTGTGCACGTGATACCAGCCTCTGACAAGTGAGGACCTGACCAAGTGCAACACTTTATAATTGAAGCAGGGGAAACTGAAAAAGATGACAACACGACAGTCTTTCAGGAGAGAAAGATTTGACCATTAAATTGATGGAGCCTTGGAATTTTTTTTTTTTTTTCCGAAAAGACCCTGCTCAGGATAGCTCTGTGCAACTCAACCTTGTGGTGAAGGATGTTTTATTGCATAAAGTTCTGTTGGAAAAATGATGCCAACAAAACCAATACTTGATTAATAATGAAAAATGTGTTTATAGATAAACTCCATGTGTGCTTAGAGTGAGCTGTGGTTAAATAGCTTCCACGCTTGGCAGCACCCAGGGTGAGTTTGATGGTGTATGTCAGTTACTCATTGAACTCGTAGTTATTTTATGCACTTACAAATGCAGCCACTCATCCTGCACTTTTCCAGCTAAATTCCAGCCCAGCTTCATGACATACCAAGTGGCTTTGGACCAAGTTGTTTAACTGCTCGGTGCTTCTGTTTCTTTTCTGTGAGAGGAGTAAAATGGTGCTCCTCCCAAGATGGAAGTGAATGCTCCGTGAGAGGAGACACATGAGTCTCTGAAGACTCAGAAGCTCTATGCAAATGGCAGTGTTTTTTTCTCTTTACTGTTGTGATGTCTCAAAACAAATGCAAACAAATGCAATGCAGTGTCTGAAGGAAGCCCATGTTAAGAGCAGACATCTTGGCATGGGAGAGCTGATCTCCTATCTGATGTGTAGAGCCACTGGCATTTTCTGCAGCATATTTTTCTCTTCTGAGTCAGGATGGAAAGAATTTGCCAAAATAATTGCCAGGGGAATGTGTTGTGCAACCTTTTGTGATCCGCTTATCCCCCAAGTTTATCATAATTCTTAAGAGTACACTGTGTTTTAGTTGCGAAGCAACATTTAGCTTGAAGAAGGCTCTGCTTTTGTTTATAATTGCTTACTTAGCCTACTGACAGTTTGAAAGTCTGGCAAAGCAGTCCAAATGTATTATTTTCTTCCAATTCTCTATATTTATTTAGTGCTGAATGATCCTTTATAGTAAGATCCTAAACTCAAAGCACTTATGGTTTAAAGACAAAGTAGAAGGCAAGAAAAAAGAAAGATAGGAAGATACACTGCCAAGAGAAGAAAAGCAAAAAGCTTGGTCTGTTCTAGATAATAGGAAGTTATAGTAAATAGGGCTAGATTTATGGATGAGCAATAGAAGGGAAATTAACATTGATAGATTAAATATGTTTTATAACACAACAGGAACTATAGACTACATAAAAATAAAAGAAAGGATTGGTCCATCTTCAGTGCTTCGTGTGGCTGGTCTCCTTTCATCTGCCCCACAGTCCTATGTAGTAGGTAATGTTGTCTTCAGCTTTACAGAAAGGCAAACAGGCTCAGAGCTGTTAAGCAACTCCCCTAAGTCCATCAGCTAACAAGTGCTGGAGCTGGATTTGACCTCAAATAGCCACAGACTGTGTTATCTCCACACATTTATTTCTTGATGAATTTTGAAAAATTGAATCAATTGGAATTGGAGCAAGGCAGTAACCAGCCTCATGCAGAGAGTAATTATTTTCTTGGGTAAATCTTCGAAGGGAAGGAAATAGCTTGGGAATGATAAAATGAAATTATTTGTGAGGAAAGGAGAATCAGTGACATGCTAAGTACAGAAAAGCTTATCTGACTGGTAGAAAAGCATAAGTTCCTATAGACCACTGGTTCTAAACTCCAGTGGACATCACCAGAGTTGCTGGTGCCTGACAGTCTGCATTTCTAATAAGTTGCCACGTGGTACTGATGCTACCGGTCTGGAAATCACCCTGGAGAAAGGTGGTGACATGGCCAGTGTGTGAAAGAGGAATTAATCTGGGTAGCAGCATTCCAGGTGCTGGGAGAGGAGTGGAAAATTCGCATTTTTGACAAGTGTGGGATATTGAAGCACATGTTTTAGAGCTATGCAAAATAAAGCGCCGCTGCTAACAGAGACTTAAGGAGGACGGTGCTGAGGAAGGATGTAAAATATAGGCTGAGCATCCCTAATCCAAAATTCCAAAATGCTTTGAAACTTTTTAAGCACTGACACGATGCTACATGTAGGAAATTTCACATCTAACGTTATGTGATGGGTTGGTAGCCAAAACTTTGCTTAATGCATAGAATTATTTAAAATATTGCATAGACCAGGTACATTGGCTCACACGTGTAATTCCAACACTTCGGCAGGCAGAGGCAAGAGGATTGCTTGACCCCAATAGTTCAGAAAACCAGCCTGGGCAACATAGTGAGACTGTGTCTCTACAAAAAATTTTAGCTGGGTATGGTGGCATGCACCTGTAGTCCTGTCTGTTTGGGAGGTTGAAGCAGGAAGATCACTTAGGTGCATCAGTTCAAGAATGCAGTGAGCTATGATAGCACCGCTGCACTCCAGCCTGGGCGAAGAGTGAGGCACTGTTTCTAAAAAATAAAAAAGTAAAATATTGTATAAAATTACCTTCAGGCCATGTGCGTCAGGTATATATGCAACATAAGTGATTTCGTGTTTAGGCTTGGGTCTCATTTCCAAGGTATCCCCTTTAAAAAATTTTCCTTTATGTTGCACGTTTTTAAAATAATTGAACATATTAAGTGAATTAAAATTGTTACCTGCATTGTTTCTTGCTGCATAGGGTTTCTTAATATTTGGGATTTAAGGACCGGAAAGTACCCTGTTCATCGTTTTGAACATGATGCAAGAATACAGGCACTAGCCCTCAGCCAGGACGATGCAACTGTGGCCACAGCTTCTGCTTTTGATGTCGTGATGCTGTCCCCCAGTGAGGAGGGGTACTGGCAGATAGCTGCGGAATTTGAAGTTCCGAAACTGGTGAGCTTTTTAGTCTGGTCATTTTATTTTCTATTCTTAGAATCTCTGGGTCTAATATAAGCATGTACTAATGGTATTGGTAACTCCCATTCACTCAGAGCTTCCTGTGGGCCTTACATCCATAAATCTAACTACAGCCTTACAAAATAGGTAGTAGTGTTTTCCCCATTTACCAAGAAGTCACTTTGCTGCTTAGAGCAGTGAACTGGCTTGCCCCAGTTCTCAGAGCTAAGAAGTTGTGATTCAAACCTTAGGGCTGACTTCAGGGTCAGAGCTGCTCATCACTGTGGTTCCTTGGCCTTTTTCAGACTAACACGGTGGAATCTTACCCTTGGGAATTGACGATCAGTTTCCGACCTAATATATAAGCGAGAATGAGTTCAGTGGTGTTATCCGAGTCCATATGGGAAGGAAGGTTTCCATTCCTACACTTCCTTCATCCCAAGACTGTCTCACCTGAAATTGAAAGTAACTCCTGAGTGAAGATAGATTTAAGTCGGTGTTAATAGGGTAGCCATGTTCCAGGATGTCACCTGTGCAGTTCAGCCAGCCTTAAGAATTCTTTATGTCGAGCTTATTTCTGAGTTCATTTATACAGGAACCTCTGTCTTTGTAGAGTGGGAGATGATTTGGGGCTAAGAAGGAAGTTCTCAAATCTGTCTATGCTGAGTTTGGATTTAATTTAAACAAACTTGATTTTGGCACTGGTAGGAGAGTGAGCAGAAAAGCCAACACTGAGTGATGAATTGAGGGCCTGACCTGGAACCAATCCTGTTCCTCCCTCTTCCTCTCTGGTGGAAATCTTAGACTAGAATAACTTAGAAAGCCATGGCATCACTGCTTCACCTCCATGAGCATCTGCACTTTGGATATAGTGCTCCCCCAAGATGGCCTGATGATGTCAACTCATCTGGGTTTTATTAGAAAAATGTGAAAGTATATTTCTGTTCTCAAAACTTCCAAAGTACTATTTAGTCTGTGATTAAAGAATACTGTAGACCAGCAATCACTAAATGGACCCAGATACTTAAGATGCCAGTTTCTCTGTAAAGTGCAAATCCTGCCTTGGCAATAAGGTGGCATCCTGGCACAGACTGGAAGCTTTTTGAAGTAGTTTACAGCCCCCAGCAAATGGCACCACCACTGTCAGTCTCAGCCTCTTGGTCTGTCAGAAAGCCAACACGGAGATAAAGTTAAAGGGCTAGACAGAGGATGTCCGTTGTAGAAAAATAAGAAATGATTTGGAGGAGTGAGAGGAACCAAGCAGCCATTGTCTGAGGCGGGTTTTATGCATGGTTTAGGAATTATTTTTCACTTTGGGTGAAAGGTTCCCACAAAATGCTCTGAGTATCCTTGGAAAAGGCACCCCTGGCCCGAAGAGCCAAGCCAGTTTTGTCTTGTCCGTATACGCCCCTGAATGGCAGTGGCAGTGTTCCCAGGTCTGCGATATTAGCCTAGAGCGGCTGTCCTTTGTGATGGACCTGCTGCTTGTGAAGCTGGGCCCAAGGATTAGGAGAGTCCCCCGGATGTTGACGCTCCCTCCAGCTCCTCTGGACGGTGTTCCGGAGGCCGGCTTTGAACTCTTTGGCGTATGGTCAGGGCAGCGCTGTCCTTTCACACTGTGGATTTTCATTATTACACAGCGTGGCTCACCTTCCATGTGTCCTCTCGTGATTTACTCAAAGAGGCGAAAGCCTGTTGGGAACAGCACCGTGGAGAAATGGGCCGCCTGTGGATGGACAGAATCAAATTATTCTTGAAAAGTGCGGAGAAATGGGCCTCCTGTGGATGGACAGAATCAAATTATTCTTGAAAAGTGCGTCTCAGACTCGTGCACATTAGAGAAAGGGCCGGTGGTGACGCATTCAGGACTGGGGAGCAGGGTGGGTAGAATGTGTTTGTAGATGCCTTCCTTACCCTCTGGTGGCCAGATGGACCCTGATGACATTGAAACCAGGAGACAGCAGATCACTTGGATATTTTGAACCTTTTGGCCACACATTTTGGCACGAATGTTAAAATATTCTTTTTTGCGAATTTGGAACTGAGTGAATGTTATTTATTCAGTTTCTTGTAAAAACAAACCAAAAAAAAAAACCACACACAAAACAAAACAAAAAAAAGCCTTTTGTTTTTTGAATTGCTATTACATCCCCATGGTTCAGAATTTAAAAGACACAATAAGGCTGATGGTGGGAAGTCTCCGCATCTCATAATCCACTTCCCTCCTTGAAGGCAGCCATTGTTAGTAGATTTATGGATGTGCGAGTCAAGCGTGTGGTGTACTTTCTCCGCCCCCACCTTGTACACATTCAGCAGGTGAGGTTACCTTACTCATCTTGCATCCTTGCTTTACCCGCTAAGTTTATCTTGGAGAATCATCCCATTTGTTCCGTTTTATAAAGAACGTTTTCATGCTTCCCTCTATGACTGCATGGTATTCCAGTGTATAGATACACTAAGTTACTTAATTAGTCCCTTAGTAATGGGTGTTTCCATTTTTCTAGTTTTTAGCTAAGACACAATTGTACTACAGTTCATGAATAACCTCGTATATAATTATTTTTTATATTTGTGAGTTTATTTGTAAGTAACTTCTAGAAGTGGATGTCCTAGGTCAGAGTGTATGTTCATTTGGTATTTTGCTAAGAGTTGCCAAAGTTCTCTTGATAGAAGCTGGACAAGATTTATGTCCCCACCAGCAATAAGTGGAATCCAGAAACACGGAACATACGGAACATGGTTTTTCCCTCCTTCACTTCCAGCCTAGGGTGTTATCAGATTTCTTGATCTTTACCGATATGAAAGATGAAGCATCATATTTCAATGAATTTTCATTTTGTATTTCTCTTTTTAGGCATGTCTTATGTTTCTCTTACACTGAACATCTTTTCTGTTGTGTAAGAGCTGTTTGTGTTTCATTTCCTGTGGGTGTTTCATTTGCCCATCTTTTTCTGTTGGGTTGCTGGCCTTCGCATTGATGTGTAGGTGGAATTGCATATTTTTGACCAAGTCAGGATGAATTTGTGGGACTAAACAACTCTTACCTTTTAACAGGTTCAGTACCTTGAAATAGTTCCAGAAACTGGAAGGTACCCTGTGGCAGTAGCCGCTGCTGGAGATCTGATGTACCTGCTCAAAGCCGAAGACTCTGCCAGAACCCTCCTTTATGCCCACGGCCCGCCTGTCACATGTCTAGACGTCTCTGCCAACCAAGTTGCTTTTGGTGTACAGGGCCTGGGATGGGTGTACGAAGGAAGCAAGGTACACAACTAGCAAGATGTATAATTAACAAAAAAGAACATAGATTTATTTTTTAGAAGGGACTTGAAAAATTAAAGCTCTTCAATATTTTTCCAGATATATCAGGGCAGTATATAAGCATGGTCAAAAAATTCAAAGAACTTCAAAAGGATTGAAAATGAAAATTAATCGTTTTCTTTCTCCTCCCTTCCCCCAACTTCGCTGCATAGAATAAACTATTAACAGTTTTGAGGTATCCACCTAGAAAAATGTAATGCATATATAAGTACATTTGTATACTGAAAACATATTGTTGTAGAGATGCGATCACAGTATACATAGTGTTCTGTACCCAGCATTTTTACTCCATAATGTGCCCTGGGGAGAGCATTCCATGTCAGCTCTTACCAACTCTCCCTCCCTAGGATTCCAGCATATGCTTCTAGCTCATAGCCTGTTTAGCCAGGCCCCTCACTGGTGGGCATTTAGCTTGCTTTCACTGTGTTGGCTGCTGTAAGCAATGCTACAATGCATATTGCAGCTTGCAGAAGTCCTTGTATATATAGTGTATCTCTAGGATGTGTACTTGCGATAATGATGGACATTGCCAAGTTGCTTTTCTAAAAAGGTGCATCAGAATTCACATTCTTACCAACAGTGCATAAAAGTGCCTCCTGAAACTCTGAGTCAGAAGCAGGAAGACAGGTTTTTAATGGAAATTCTTTGAGTGATGACTAAATTTTATCACTCCCTAGCATCTTACTATCCTGAGTGTAGGCCAAATACTTGGTCTAAGAGCTGATTTATAGACTCTCCCTATCAGTGGGACCAAGTGGGAGAGAGAGAAAGTTTTTGTTTCATTTTGGTTTTTTCTTTCCAATTTCCCTGCTCCTGACCCTTTCTGTCAGTTGGTGGGATTCCTGCGAAGGAATGTGTCTGGGCCCGCAGACCCTGTGTGACTGTTAGTACGTTCCTTAACCCTCTTTATGCCTCAGTTTCCTCATTTGTAAAATAGAGTTCATAATAGTGCCTGCTTCTTAGAGTTGTAGGATTAAATGAAAAGCCATATGTAAAGCTTGAGGCATGGTGCCTGGCACATGAGAGCTCACGATCTGTTGGCTCCTGAACCTCCCGTTATTACTCCCACCCATAGTTGGAGTCCAGCCTCTGGTGGTGCTTACTTTTACATCTTATTTCCTCCATGTATTTGACCTGTAAGGTCAAATCTCATTTATGTAGGAGTGATTGGTTTTGCAACCCAGTAAATGGTTAAGAATGGAAGCATCTTGGATCCCAGTGATACATTCTTCATCCAGGAAGACAGACTAAGCGTAGACGCTAGATGTGTGGCGTCCTGTCATCCCACTGTGAAAAGGCCTCCCCTTATGCTGCAAACTTGGTGTGCAGTTTGGTTGGGGCATCTCCATTGTGTCCTAGCTGGAAGATGTGTCATGATATAACTCCTGAGTTTTGTCTTCCAGCTCAGGAGGGAAGGAGCAGGAATTGGTTTCCTAAGGCAGTTTCCTTTCTCGTGCTCTAAAAAAACTTTCTTTTCCCATCCCTGGTGAGCTCATTTGTTGAGAGAGGAGAGACCATTTGCTTTCTAATTTTTCATCTGGTGTGCTTTCAAGTTTGTGTTATCTCATTTATTTTTAGAGCTCTCAGTATAGAGAGGTGATAGTTATATTCAGTACTAGTCTGGTTTAAATTTTTCATGCTTTTTATAAATGTTTTATCAGGTAGGTCCTTTTTCTCTTTGACTTATCTGAATGGATTTATTCCTGTAGTAATACAGTTGTAATGGATACATTTGAGAAACTACCTAAAGGGGCAGTTTCCCAGCACAAGGATCCTTCAGATACGGATGTAAGGCAGTGGGGTTTTTTTGATTCCTCTCAAAATTTCCAACCCAACTGAAAGCATTCACTGTAAGAATCAGCTGATTAATACATTAATTTTATGAAAAATCCTTGGTTAAAAATGTACAGTCCCTGGCTGGGCACGGTGGCTCACATCTATAATCCCAGCACTCTGGGAGGCCAAGTCAGGAGGATGGCTTGAGGCTGGGAGTTTGAAAACAGCCTGGACAACATAGCAAGACCCTGTCTCTACAGAAAAAAAAAAAAAGTATAGTCCCTCAAATGACTTGTAAGCTGGTATTTTCGTTGGTGTTTTAAAATTAGGAGTGGAAATAAATTTGCTACAAGAATGTTTCTAAATGTCTCTTTGGAAGCTGACAGTAGCATTTAGTCATCCAAATATGTTGTGAGCACAGCACCAACCCTCCAAACACTCGTGTGGGTGAATGGCTACTTGTTAGTAGTGTTGGTAATAACTTTGTGTTGAGATGTTTCTCCAACAGGAATGCCACCCACTCAAAAGTAAGAGGAACACCAAGCTTTATCTATGTAACTTTGCTTATTTTTACAGAGATGAGACTTTCCATCCCATTGCGCTTAATGGATTTTCTGCTTCCTCAGAAACACTTGCATTTTTAAGAAACGTAATTGTCATATAACAGCTCTACGTGAATTAAGTCATGTCATGGGTAACTCTGTGAGATTTTAGTATCTTCCTGCTGTGCTCTAATGTGATGTCATAATTCCCAAATAGTCTCATGTGCGAGGCTTGGTGTCACTTTGCTTGTGAATACCATGCTTGGCCATCTCTTTGCTTCAGCCTGGCGGCAGCGTCTATCCCAGCACATTTTATTAGGCTGGTATGAGACTATTAGCAGTGGAGTTTGCCTGGAGCTATATCCACACTAGGGTTTGTATCTGTGCCTCCGGCCTGTATATCTAGGATTCAGATGAAGGTTTTATGAGAACAGTGCATTTGGTTTGTATTTGTTTGTACCTGATACAAAACTGGGGTTTAGCTATAGTCCATTATTGATTAACTGTGATAAAAGCGGACAGTGAAGTCCAAATGTTGAAACTGACTTTTAGTCAGAAACTTAAAGCTCCCTAACCTGTTGAAGTATTCCAGAGGTGTTATTTTTGTTTAGTTGGAGAATATTCTTACACCGTATGATGCCTACATTAGCATGTTACAGGCACCTCAGCTGCATGCGCATGGAGTAATAATGGCTCAAATCCACCCATTCCTATATCTGGCTAGCCAACCCATTGTGTATTCATCACAAATACTGAGCACCAGTAGTGTTCCTGGCATTGGCACGTTAAAACAGCATCACACACAGATTTCAGCAAACTGGTGCTTGTCAAGGAACCTAGCTCTGTTAATAAACATAGTTTTCTAAAGAAACAAAGCCGAGTAATTTAGCAAAAGCTTATCTGTTTAATCTTTTTTTTAAAAAAAGTCTTCGAATGTAGCTGGCTGATCAGTCACCTCCAGCTTGGGTAGGAAGGGATCAGACAGTCTGGGCCCTGCAACATCTTGATTTGCCTGTTGGACAGGGGCTCCCAGACTTGGGTTTCAGGCGTCAAAGTTAGGGGCCACACCTGGGTTTGCCAGCAGTGTTACAGGCCACATAGTCATAGAAAAAATAGCAACTATGTATTTTTGCCCTTTTTTTGGAAGATTAGAGTCTTTTTTTAAATTAAAATCATTTTATTTCAATAGCTTTAGGGGGGTAAAAAGGGTTTTTGGTTACATGGATGAACTGCATAGTGGTGAAACTTGGGCTTTTAGTGTACCTGTCACCCAAATAGTACACATTGAACCCAGTACCCTTCTGAGTCTCCAGGGTCCTCCTGTGCCACTCTATGCCTCTGCATACCCATAGCTTAGCTCCCACTTATAAGTGAGAACATGCGATATTTAGTTTTCCATTCTTGAGTTACTTCACTTAGGATAATGGCCTCCAGTTCCACCCAACTTGCTACAAAGGACATTATTTCATTCCTTTTTATGGTTGAGTATTATTCCATGGTGTGTGTGTATGTGTGTGTGTGACATTTTCTGTATCTACTTATTGGTTGATGGGCACTTAGGTTGGCTTCATATCTTTGCAATTGTGATTTCTGCTGCAATAAACATTTGTGTGCAGGTGTCTTTTTTATACAGTGACTTGTTTTCCTTTAGGTAAATATCCAGTAGTGGGATTGCTGGATCAAATGGCAGATCTGCTTTTAGTTATCTGAGAAATCTCCATACTGTTTTCCATAGAGATTGTGCTAGTTTACATTTCCACCAGCAGTGTATAAGCATTCCCATTTCACAACATCCACACCAACATCTATTGATTTTTCACTTTTTTTTTTTTTTTGAGATGACGTCTTGCTCTGTCGCCCGGGCTGGATTGCAGTGGTGTGATCTCGGCTCACTGCAACCTCCACTGATCAGGTTCAAGCAATTCTTCAGCCTTAGCCTCCCGAGTAGCTGGGATTACAGGCGTGTGCCACCACGCCTGGCTAGTTTTTGTAGTTTTAGTAGAGACGAAGTTTCACCATGTTGGCCAGGCTGGTCTCAAACTCCTGACCTCGTGGTCTTCCTGCCTTGGCTTCCCAAAGTGCTGGGATTACAGGCATGGGCCGCTGCACCCGGTCTGTTTTTTGACTTTTTAATAATGGCCTTTCTGGCTGGGATAAGGCGGCATCTCATTGTGGTTTTAATTTGCATTTCCCTGATGATTAGTGATGTTAAGCATTGTTTCTTATGTTTGTTGGTAATTTGTATATATTCTTTTGAGAAATATCTGTTCATGTCATTTGCCCATTTTTTAATGGGATTATTTGTTTTGGCTTTTTTTTTTCTGCTGATTTATTTGAGTTCCTAGTAGATTGTGGATATTAGTCCTTTGTTGGATATATAGTTTGCAAATATTTTCTCCCATTCTGTGGGTTGTCTGTTTACTCTGTTGATTATTTCTTTTGCTGTGCAGAAGCTTTTTAGTTTAATTAGGTGCCATTTATTTGTTTTTGTTACATTTGCTTTTGGGATTTTAGACATAAATTATTTGCCTAGGCCAATGTCCAGAAGAGTCTTTCCTAAGTTCTCTTCTAGAATTTTTATGGTTTCAAATCTTAGATTTAAGTCTTTAATCCATCTTGGTTAAT